TGTGTGTGTGTGTGTGTGTGTGTGTGTGTGTGTGTGTGTGTGAACCTGTAGTAGAGCCCTTATATACTGGCCTCAATAGACCTCATCTTGCCTTGTGAGTACCACAGCCTCATTGACCATCAAGATCTAAGTGGTGACCATGAAAAAGTTGGTTTCTGCATTCCAAAACAGACCCACAAGGCAGGGCAAGCATAAGCCTTGTATATCCTTTAGACTCAGCGTATAACCTGTGGCCCCCAACAACATATCACCAGTAGTGTACTGTTTTTAAGTTTACAGTTTTATGTCAGTTACTTGAAATGATGATGATAGTTTAAACACAGTTATTATGTAGCTGACGCATATTTTAAACAATATATATGTCAAAATTTACATTCTAATAAGCATATGTATATATATTCGCCTGCTGTAGCACATGGAAATGAAGTTTTATCACTAAGTGTTTTATGTCAAAAATACTCTGGCTTTCTGAACAGCTCATTATGGCTTCCAAAATTCAACCATCACATAGCATTTTACAGAGTTTAAATTGGACACCAGAGGTCCAATAATTGAGGTCCCGGTGTGTGTGCTATTGTCTTTCCTTAGAAATCTGTCCTTCTGTGCTTCACTGTATAATATGGGTACTGCAGTACAGTTTTCTGTTCCTTTTCAAATGCTTCGTCTCAATTCTGAGAAAAGGAGACACAATAGGGAAATAAAAAGACAAGACGAAAGGGAAAAAGGGACTTTCTTGGTCCATCTTAAGGCTGTTTTCTTAGGAGGTCTGTCTGGGTTATATTGCTCCAAGCTGGCAGCAGCAGTTGGTTCAGCCTGAAGCTCTTATTATTTTCCCACTAGTGCCTCTTTATGACCCAAGTATTGCCATTTTCTGGATGCTCTTTTGACACCTTTCCTCTAGAAAGTAATCCTGGACAATTCTCTTTGACTCCTAACCTTAAGAATGATTATTATTATTTTTCTGTCTGGACTATATGTGATACTAGATTTATTTGATCATGTACATGGTTTCTATTGAAAGAAGAGGTGTGATCAGACTCTAAGGTGAAAGTTTAAATTAAAAAGAATCATTGCAGTAAAAGTCACAGTGCCATTAGTGCTCCTCAAGTACATCCTTTCTCTTCAACACACACATTCCATCGTTCTTCCCAGTTTTTGAAGCAGTTCTTGTCGCTTTTGTAACCATCTTCATGAAGTGTGGTGAAAAATACACTGAATGCAGCTGTGGTGTAACATCCAACCAAAAGGCAAGCTTCTGAAATATTACAGTGCATCCTTATCAGCCATGCTCATTGACTGGCACTGTTCTGGCTCTTCCCCAAATCAAAATTGAAATTAAAATCAAAAGAGTTTCAAATTAATCCAGGCTATCGAGATAACCACAACAGTGCAATTAAAGACACTAATGAACTGTTTCAGAAAGTGGCAAGAATGATTAAGTCAGTATACAGAAAGCAATGAGGAGACTTTTGAAGAGTATTCATGGCAGTGTATCTCTTACTGTAATAAGTAAATAAATAAAAATTTGAACATTCACCATAAGTTTTTATCACTGGGAGTAAATCACTAGTTATTCATTACATGAAATCTCATATTTAATTAAAATTTTTAGTTAAGGATAGTAAAGTTCTCTGAGAACCAAATATCTTCTACAATTTATTATGAAGTTATAATGACTACAAAGCTGTGCCAGGGTAGCCACTAGTAGAAAATAATATTCATGGCTTTTAATTCTCAATTCAAATAATAGAGAAAAAAGAGCTTCTACAGCAGTATTTTAAGCATCTGTTATTTTTGGTTGGTGCAAGATTGCTTCTCTCAAAAAGCAAATGCATTTTTATGCTGATTGTGACATGAATTGAAATGTTATCTTTGCCATGTTAGGACATTAATTGGTTAAAAAAAAATGAGGGTGAAACTTGTATGATGAAATCTGAGTAGATTTGGATTGGAGAACTTAATTTCCTGCTAGTAGAAACATCTTCCTGAGTGTGATGAGATTCTTCCATTCCTGGATTAAGACCCTTTAATAACTGCTGGAGAAAGAACCCTACATAAACCAATCCAGATGCTGAGTGAGGGAAAATGATAGAAGGAGGAAATTATAAATACAAACTACAGCTATGTAACTAATTGCAAAAATGGATACTGTGATAGCTATGTATATTTTGGTTTTTTTGTATATCAGCATTTCCATAGATATTGATATAGTTATACTTTTATAAAGACAGATATTTTTGTATATTGATATTTATTTGTATTACCATCTCTTTTTTGACCTCTCTTCTCCTGTTCCTTTAATTCCTTTTTATTTTTTAAAATTTTTCTTGGCACATGTTTCAGTACATAATGGTTGCACGGGGAATTGGTACATGTACATCAATCACATGTCTTTTTCACCTGCTATCCACCCCTTAATTCTTTTATGATAATTACTGTTAAAAATACAAGATATCCTCATTATTGAATCTGTAAGAAACAATGTTAAAATAAAACTATGACTATACTAAGACAACAAATAGCATCACTCAGAAATGTGATCATTGCCTAGAGATAGATACAATGATTTCATGTATTTCTTTTTTGGAAAAAATGATAAGAGTAACTTTGCTCATAAGATTAATCATAACATTGTGAAATAGTATAAATGTGTATATAGGAATATATATACCTGTGATACTAAATAATCAGAGGGATAAATTATAACAGTTCATAATTTTGCCAGTAAGCAATTATCTGTCAGCTCCATATCCATCCAGCTATATTCTATTTTGTGATACTGGGATGAAACTAATTTTTATTTTGTCTCTGCCATGAGGATTTTTTCATTTCAGCCAATAGAAAGCTCTTAAGAAGCAAGTGAAGTTAGGAGGATTCATTTCATTGACATGTTCTGCTGTTCAGTAACTCTTTTGTCCTTGGACATAGTGGACTCCAGCCTCCAGGTTTTTACCCTCCCTAAGCTAGCCTCATCTTCTCCTGCCAGGGCTGTCAGTTTTAGCTGAATATCCCATCTTCTAAAATCTGATCCCAAATACGCAAAATTCTCTTTTGGACTCCTAAGAATATAGCAACTGTGGGTCTGGAAAACACTTGCTCTAGGTATCTGAGCTACTATAATCAGCCAGGAGCCCACTTCTCCTTTAAACTGTGATTCCTAGCTCTGGGAGTTTTCTGATCAGGGGTCTTTGCTCCTGTCACTGTCCAGGTACCATTCCTAGAGATGACGAAGTCAGTTCTAGGTCCTTTTGTCTAAATGCCTAGATCGTGTGGAACTTATCTCTCCTTTGGTGTCTGCTTCCTATACTTTATCTATGTGATGCACTTATCAATTTTTTCCTCCTTTAAATTCCCTGTACTGAAATCTAGCATAGTTCCTATTCTAAAGTCACAATTTACTATTTAGTAGCTCTGAGGACTGGAGCAAGTCATGTCCCCATTAAGAGTCTCAATCCTATATCTTTTAAACTATGGTACAATAAAGAGTAACAGTATAAGTAGTGTTTCCCAATTATTTTTTGGGAAATACTCCTGCTAAGATTTCCTTTTGCAAAGTCATATGGATATAGAAATATTATAGTGCTCTAACAAAGTATAAAAGATTCAGTATATATATGAGCATACCAAAGGCAGTCAGAAGCCTGACAGCAAGGAAACATCTTTTACTAAACATCTCCAAGTTATTTGATGAGGGAAACTGCTATTTTTTTCCATCTCCTGGCATACTCCAAACAATCAGCACTTTCTAGAATTGTGAACAATTCAGACATTTTAAAATTTCTTTAAGATCAAATTAAAATTATTTTAATTAGTTTTATTTATCTGTTTTATCCCTTCATAAGTGCTGAGAGGATAGATAAGTCACAGTTGTCAGAATACCAGGTTCGTTAAAACAAGAAATGAAATAAGGTGGGAGAGGGTGAGAGCACACAGTCCGACTGTGTTAGATGAGAGCAAGTGTGGTTAAGGTTGAGTGAAGGACTTATGAATTCACAGTGCCTGGGTAGGATTCTCGACTGGAGCATTTCAGTGACAGAATTCTAAACCAATTTCTTCATCTTCTCTGTGCCTTGATTTCCTCATTTCTAAATGAAAAAATAGCAGTGTGTACTTTCTGGAAATGTAAAGAAGATTAAATATGATGTAGTATGTAAAATGATGAACACTCACCCTTAATTACTTTTTATACTCCCTAAAATACCTGAAAGCTCTGTATAATTATATGAAATTCACTTAGATAGTGAAGAATCGTTTTTTAAAAAGTATAACTTTTTAAATGGCAGGGCCTTTGAAGGGATATAATCAGCTCCACAATTCTATAAATGAGAATAGAGGTGAGTCTCCTAGAGAATTGAGATACTTCTATAAGATGCTAAAAAAAAGTGCTAGATGGCAATCTCTGTCTCTTCAATCTTAGTACAGGCTTTTTCATTTAAATATGAAATTGTTCATGTGTAATGATTTCATATATTCTGAGACAGTGGCAAGAGTAGCAGTATCAAAATATTTCTTTTTGGATTCTGAGCTTATGGGGTGATCTCTACCATGTTTTAGTCCCAAGTGTATCTCATGGAGCATCTATCCATTCAGATGGACCACATTTCGTGTTTTCTTTTATGTCTATTTCCTGCTTCCCAATAACAGCTCATATAAGAGCAACAGTTAAAAGTAGAACTTGCACAGTAGAAAGGAAGAAGAGTAGTTACATCAGTTTTCATGGTAGATTGAACAGAGGAAAAGGGAAATTGAGGTTTTTTTTTGTTTTTTTTTTTTTGTTTGTTTTGTTTTTTTTTTTGTATGAACACAAGGCTTTGCAGAGCTGGGTGTCTGAGCTTGGTGGTCTCATATCATCTAGCAGAATCTCCAGGAGCACTGATGTCAGGCTAGAAATAAACGGTCCATCTTTGAGCACCTATAAAAATTCTTTTCCCTGGCTTTATAGAACAGACCCAGAGAAATACGTTTATTAATATTTTATTTAGTGTTATATTTAGGAAGGGGCAATATATGAGAGATAATTGTATTCATCATATACAAGACTTCCTTAAAGTAATAATTTTTTCTACAATTTCATGGAATTATGGTAAGCATAATTCTGTACAAGGAGAATTTAGTGACATAAAACAACACTTTATTGCAATATAAATAAAGCTATGTACATAAGCATATGTAATATGACCTTTGTATAATTTATGTGTATACAACACCATACTTCGTTGAGGTAAAAGAGCACAGCGAGGTTAAAAACAAAGTCTAATTTCAATATAAGCTTTATGATGCTACTAAAAGCCATTTTGCTAGCATAAATGTCTCCAACATGCTGGTATAAACCTACTGATAAATATTTAGACCGTACTTATATTTTGCTTGCTAGTAATTAAGCCAAAATAAACATTTAAGGCAACATTTGGAAGTGTTAGCGTTTTGTACTTTATCTGCCTTCTAAATGTTATTCACAGTGACAATCAACAATAGTGAACTACAAAGGGCAAAAATGAGCAAATTTATCATGAATCCATTTTATCCTCTTATTGAATTGTCTCTAATGTGCATAAAAAACAGGCTTTTTCAGCAATTTTTAATCTCAGTTTTGAAGGGTAGCATTATTGCTTTTTTTGTCCCATTCATGCTTCCTCAAAGTTATGAATTACAGATTTTCAGTGTTGATTGTCTATCTACATTGGTCTCAGTGCTATTTTTTAATACAAAGAACGAGAATTTTTAGAATACAGGTCGTTCTGGCTGTAAGCTATTCAACACTGCTACTGACTTCCATCGTGTCTTTGGAAAGATAAACTATCCAGTATACAAGGTTGAATCCTGCAAATGCAACTGGGAAGAGAATTCGAGAATACTGGTCTATTTTGCTGGTGCCTCCAAAGGCTGGCAAGAGAGGTGGTGGTGTGACAGGTGTTGATTGCAGGTTGGGTTCTCTAGTGAGAACTTTGCTGGCCTCTGGGGATTTGATGATTGGCAAAGTCAAGGAGGTGATTCTTTTCTTCAGATGGTACTTGGAATCAGAATGCTGTGGAAAGAAAGATACAGATATCCGATGAAAGTAAAAGAAGATATCAGTAATCAGTCACTGCCTTTTTCAGCAGTCCCAAATATTTGTCTACTTGCTGTGTAAGGTAAATTATCAAAAATCTCTTAATAGTATATGAGAGTGCTACTTTTCCAAACACTGATTAAAATACATTAAAAAAAATGATTTGCTTCCATCTTACATCTTAAAACTCAGTATATCCTTAACTGATATCAAGCATGTTCTGTGTCTCGGGAAAGACTAACCAGTATGCAAAGGCATAACTATCCCGTGGTTGTGAATAAGCAACGGGGCAAGAGATGGTAAGTATCATAGCAGTGGGGACATAAATTCTAATTTGGCATATGTGAACAATTAGTATAACAAAACCATGGTTCAGATCATTTATACTATTATTCTAGAAACATTGGTCTCTATCTTCATATTCATATACTTTTCAATTTAAATAAATTGAAATTTAAGAAAGTGAACCAATGTATCATAGGTTAGTATCAAGTATCAAAAATTAAGTGAGTAGAATGTTCATTCCTTGAAATATGTCTATTTCTCCCAGAAGTTTTATTTTAAAAGGTTTGTATTTTCCATTTTCAGAACCTCTCTGCTAATCTGAAATCCATCTTATGTCCTCAAACTGATCCATTTACTAACCCTAGAATTGTTGCACATACCTTTCTGTCATTAGATTTTCTGTTCTACTGAAATCATAAAACAGTCTAGTCTTGAAAGAGATGTTTAACACATCAGTTAACAAGTAAGATGGCTGAGTTTCAGAGAGGGAAAATTGTTTGCTGATGTCGCATGACTAGTACTAAAGTTCAGTAGTCAATGCCAACACTTGTTTCATCCCAGCATGCTCTTATCTCGAAGCATTGAGCCTTGTTCAGAAATTGATTCTGTCTTATTTAGGATCCTTTCATACTACTGGAGTGTAGAGGCCTCTCTGATTTTTCTCTTTTCTTGTCTACAACCTATCACAATCTCTGTCCTCCAGGCCAGGTTGTCTTGCTGGGTCGCCACCTTCAAACACTTTCTGTACATTTCCCTTGATCTTGTAAAATGGTCTTATTTCCTCCCTGGCAGGAAAATCACTACTTTGCTGCCTGGCAGGGTATGCACTTCATGTGGGTAGACTCCCAAGGCTTTAGCCAGCAACCCTGCTGCAATGAGATGAGACAGTCCACCTCCCCTGTGTAGGCTCAGCTGCAGAACCAGAATGACCTGCTGATGTGGTGACATTTGGGCTGCAGGAACAACAACCCGAAGGATTGTTTTTTCTGTTTCCCCTTTTGAATTTTGCTGCTTGATTTACTGTGGAAGTTTTTGAATATCTAAATAATAGTAGTCATCATAAAGAGTCAATCCCAATGCATATTGAGCTACCATAGTAAAATCTGTCTCTGCACCCAAAGCAAAAATGTATTTATGTGTATTGAAGTTTAATGTGATGCAACCATGATGAATTTCAAGCCAGGAATGCCTTACTTGTTACCTCGGTACTTTGCTAGGCACTCTGGACAGAATTAAATAGGTCTCATAGTTAGAAGAGAGTTTAAAATAATAGAGCCTGGTCTGCTCATCTTGGATAGAAGATAAGTGACTCATCTGTTGAAAATATGGGACAGCTGAGGACTAAATCCCTGGCTCACCTGTGGGAGGTTAGACTGGAGTAATGATATGTTGGTCTCATTTCATGCCGCCTCTCTCAGAGAATAAACTTATTACCGTTTTCAAGTTTTCTATTATGTTTAACTCTAGTTTGAATTTTCATCCATTAAATATGTTAGTAAAATATTCTCTACCTGAAAGACCAAAGTGTGTCACTTTTTCATTCTCCAAGCAGCACTCATCCTTCGTATCATTAAAATATTTTGAACTATTAAAAGGCCTAAAGATCCTAATGGAGTAGCATCTGGGCAAGCCTTTCAGAAAAGGTTTCCTCTCCAGGCTCATCTTGACCTTTAATCGTACGTGCTACCTGTCTGAAACCTGCATTTTTTTCCACTTTTGGCAGGCATGCCTGATTTATTGATATGGAGCAGTAACTGTAAAACAACACATAACAAGAATATAAATCATTGTTTTTTCCTCCTCGGAGAGATGTGGAATGGAGGAAATGTTTCTGAATTTTGGCATTGTCAAAAAGAATTTAATGAGAATTGCCAAATAACCCTGGTCTAGAGATAAGAGGCATCATTCAGATGCAAGTGCCATGACAAATTTAAATAAAATGGTATTAGCCTGGAATTAAAGACTCTCCAATTGGATTATTCCTCTCCTCATTTACTGGCCCAGTCTCTACTGACTATAATAATTTAAGAGAACAGGAGAGACAGAAATCCTGAGATTATAGTTTCATGTCTACTACTTACCTGTGATATGATTTAGACATGTCATAGATATCAGAAATTTCTTATTCTCCAAAAGCTTCAAGTTTTAAACCTTTAAAGTTAAGGATAATTAATATTTTCCTCATAAATTTTTCCTTACATTTCAAGTAATTTTTAATTATCTGCAATGTACACATTCTTCTCATTCTCACTGTGAAACTTACTTATACTTTATTTCCTCTTCCCCTGGAATAACTTCCATGAACACTCCATCTTTACCTTTCCTTCATTGCTTTTGAGAGCAAGCTCATATGCCACCTGATATCAGTAATTATTCCTGTCATTATACACTTGCATGCATACTTAGCTAGTAAAACTCAAGTGACTGCTATTACAATTACGCACATTGTGTTTTATCTTCTTTCCTAATGTGAAACCTACTTAATGACAGAGGGAACATGATTTTCATGTTGAGTGCTCCGTGTTTCCTGGTTAGTACACTGAATATAGTTTATTCTTAAAAAACAGGGTTTAGTCAGTAAGCCAATAAAAATCTAAATACTTTTGAGGATTTGGGGGAAGAAGAAGGAGTGGGAAGAGAACAAAAATTTTAATATTGTTATGTTATATTTTAATATGTTAATATTATATTGTATCATGAGTATAATTTCTAAACGTTTACTGCTGATATTCCATGCAAAGCATTTGTGTGCATACTTTCACTTATTCTTTGAAAACATTCTTAATGTCACGTTTTTGAAGGGAATAAATGGAAACTGTAGTAGGAAGTTCAAATAGGTAATAAGTGGTAAGTGTTCTTGGATGCCAAAGGTCATAATCTTACCAATTCTTATTCTATCCATCCTACTATCTTAGGACTTGGTCTGTCAAACTCAGAACTACAGACATTTGGAGTTGGATAAACCTTTACTGTGGAAGACTGTGCCGTGCATCGTGGGATGCTGAACATTCCAAACTTCTTCTTACAAATAGCATCCTATACCCCAAGTTGTAACAACAAGAAATATTTCCCGACCTTGCCAAATCTATAAAGGAAAAACAGCCATAAGAATGTGGTTTAGAAGGGCCAGGGATTTAGCTCAGTAGTGTAAGCGCCTGCCTGGCAAGTGCAAAGTCATGAGTTCAATCCTCAGTACCAAAAAAAAAAAAAAAAAAAAAAAAAAAAAATGTGGTTAGAGGCACATTTGTTCCACTGCCCAGTAGTTGTCTGGGGGGATTTCTAGGCAGCAACAAATATGATAATGCAAAGGAAATATATGAATCCTGGCTACATTTAATAATCAGCTACTCGATAATTGGGAATTGAAAAGACTGGATGCCAATTAAAAATGAATACATTGAAATTTCTGAAATTAAGAGAAAGTCAATTTTGCAAGCCATTTAAGTAGACCCTCCTGCTCTATTGTAAACCCAGCAGCTTCAGTTGATGGTAAAATAGGCTTTTGTCAGAGACCAGATGAGGGCTCAGCTTGGGGCTGTCACTGTTTTCAGTGGAACGCCTGTGGTTTTGAATTTTTCCAGGGCTCCCCTGCTGCTTAGTGCCATCCTGTCTTGAGTATTTTTAGAGCACCTCTTTGTTTTAAGTAATGTCATATTGCAAAGGTACTTTGAGACAAAGAGAGCGATATGACAATCAATTATTTGATATAGAGATAAGTCATCACGGAAATATTTAGAACACTTTTCAGTCTAATATTTTTTTTAAAAGTTCCAGGCAATGGGGTGACTCTTCACTGAAATATTTAATCAGAGCTGTGTTACTGAATGCACAAAGTAACTGTGTGTAATACCAGCACAGTTTATGATGTCTGTTTAGCAATTTGGAGACACCAAAATTAAAAGCAAATATTTTTGACAACATTTAGTGTTTGATATATTTCAAAAATCACCTCAATGATTCTTCTGGGAAAAAAACAGTACTCTACGGGACTTTTCTGCATGTACATTACAGCTGATAAGAATCAAGAACTGAGACAACTTCAGAATATCTACAGGGAAGCAGCTTATTGACATTAATCCAAGCAGTCATAGAGGAAACCAGACTATTGTTTGGAAGGTGCAGAATAGAGTATTGCATGGGGAGTTAATAAAATGCATGAAGAAAGATCTACTCAGCTGCCTCCCTTGTCTAATTCACCTTGTTCTCTTCATTAGTCCCTCAGAAGCAGTCACTGCATAGTCATTGCATGATCTTTCTGGTCCTTAGAAACTCTGATAGTTTTTACTTAACTTTTAGTTTTAGCAAACAATGAGAGTAGTGAATAAAATCTTTACAAAACTTCTAACAGGAAGTGTAATCTTTCAATATTCTATTCATCTCATCTCTTTACAGAAGTGAGTGGAGCATGGAATTATCCCCGCACAAATCCTCACTGTAAAAGGAAAGGCAGAAAGGACCTTGTCTTATCTTTTCCTCTGCAGTCAACTTTCTAGCAACTGGCTACTGGTGCAGGGTCAGGCTTATCATTCTTTTCTGGGCTTAAGTGTTGCTTCTGCAGAAATGGAGATGGCTTCAAAGTCTTCCACATGGAGACACTTGTAGGTGACTCTTTATCCTTTTTTCACCCTACCTTACATCTCTAGTCACAGTCTGTATTATGAAGTCACTGACTTTTCTCTCCCCTTATTGAGTTTCTTTCTGGTAGATAAGAAGTTCCACCAAGAACTAAGGAATGAGCCTTAGCATTCTGCTGGCACATAAGAGCACGAAACAAATACTTATGGCATGGATAATTCAATATGTAAATACTCACAAAGAAGGGTCAGACTTTAAAAAAGAAAAGAAATTGTGTGTACAGTGTAACCAGAATAAATATAACTATTGGCCTGGCTAAGGAAATGTTGGTCAATTTGATATGTAGGGAATTACAAGAAAAAAATCTTACTCCCCATGAAAAGGACGTGTCATGTTAAGAGTAGCAACGGTACTCAAGGGGAGTATTAATGGGGTGTGGAGGATGCAGTATTAGTAACGTACCAGTAAGAGTTTAGTCCTTTAGAATCCAAGGAAACTAATAAACTGAAAAAAAGTCAAGGACTAAACTTGATCCAGTGTATTTATATGTATATCCAAGGCACATCAGAGATTCTGAAACCATAAAACAGGAATGATTCTAATGTCAAAATAACATAGTAGAAAACAGTAAGGAAGGGGCTGGGGATTTAGCTCAGTGGCATAAGCACCTGCTTTGCAAGCAGGCAGTCATGAGTTCGATCCCTGGTACCGATGAAAAGGAAAAAGACAAAAAAAAAAAAAAAAAAAAAAAAAAAAAAAACAGTAAGGAAACTAGAGAGGAACTGCTGGACAATTTCTTCTCAAAGCCTAATTTTTTTTTTCTAATTCCAAATGCTTTATTAGGTGAAAGATGATTAGTCTACACAGCCATCTGAGAGTTTAGCTTTAAGGTATATTTTGAGTTTGAGTCACAAATTTTATATACTTGCATTTATTTTGTCATTGTGATGTAAATTTCAAGGTCAATATTAAAATGATAAAAGTAATAACCATTCATCCATATAAATTCTAAATAATTTTCTGTGAAAAAGCAGTAAACATTCTAAAATACACAGCTTAGAATCATATGATGTACCCAAGCACTTACTTTCATCTCAACTTTTCTATATTGGTTTGCTATTTCAATGTCCAGCTCATTCAAATTTTTGATTACAACTGAATAGGCATTTTTAAATGTCATGATATTTGCCAGAAAAATACGACCTTGCAATATGTGTAACATGAACTGCAAATGTATAATTTATGTTTGTTACTCTATGTTATATAAAGCAACTTGCTAAATGTTGACATAAATAAAATATAAATTTCTTATGTAATAAATTATATTTATTTTTGATACCTTCAAGGTTTCCATTGTTGGGTTATTTTTGTTTCTAGTTTTTGTACTTTAGAATCTTAGGAACAAAATTCTAGTCAATGCTTTAAAATATAAATGGGGGTAGGTTCAGAAATACAACCTTTTATAAGGAAAAAGGTAATTTACAAGAAAATGTAGTAATTTAGGATGATTTAAGTATAGGTTTTTACACAGATACCCAACGGATCTGTTCATTATATGTTACTATTTTATATGAAGACCTGAGGTCTTAAATTCCATCGTATTATAAATTGCATCCTAAAAATAATAGCCTAAGGGGATGGGTTGCTCTATGACTCTTTCATAATATGTAAATTATGCTTACTGATAGCAAAATTTCTTGTTTTTAAAAACAAAATAATGCTTAAAAGTGTGTAAAATGTATCCTGCCTGAAAAATATGGCTTATAACTTCCTGCACTGACTTTGTAGATTGACATATGTTTTGTCACAAAAACCATATTTTTGTGACCTTTTGAAACTGAAACAAATGGGAAGAAAGTATCATTAAATCAAAGGGAGAACTGGGCAATGAATCCACATGTACTTTTAAAATGCTTGTCCAGGTGATATATACTCTCGTGTGTTTGAGCTGGGAAAACATGTTGGGGAGGGAATACGCTGTCTCTGTAACATACATATCACACATTCTAGAGCAATTCCTACTTTTTCTACAGACTGGTAACTAATATTTTTTTTTTCCGAGAATATCCATTTGCAGAGAAGATAATTAAAATGAATCACCAGATAGCAACTAATTTTTTTTTCTTTAATACTGGCTAACTTAAAAATCTCTACTTACATTTTATTTTCAGGATCGAATGTATACAGTTAAATAAGCTCCTCAGTTTACAAAATGCCGCCTTTTAGCTAATAAATCTCCCACATTTGAAGAAGTAAAATACATAGTTTTATAATTTTTGTCATAAAGTTAAATTGGTGATTACCAATATACATGTGGTTTTAAGATTTTGAAATATTTACTGCAATTAATTAGTTACAGAAAATTTCCCATTCAGAGCGTTACCTATTTAACTTTGCAGAGTAGCAACTCCCTTGTAGAAGCTACTGTTTGTGACTTGTATTAAAATAAAAATGTATACTTGTAATCAGTTTTACAATTTGTTTTAAAAAGTATGCTTATTCTAAATGTTGTGAGAATTTACTTACATACAAAACTTAGAGCCCTTTAATATATTAATGTAACTATTTGTTTCTTGTTCAAAAAATTTTGGATACCAGGACTTGGCTCATAAATTTATTGTAAATCTATAAACATTTACCACTGATTATAAACTTTTGAACATAGACTTATTCATGTACATACCTTTATTAACCAGATATCAATGCTAATATGTTTTAAAATAAGCCAAATATTTGAGTTATGACTGAGCATTCTGAGATCGTATACTATTTCTATCTTGCCCTCATGAAATAAAACAGCAAGTAGATTTCTACAAAAAATTATTCATTCCATGGGAGTCCCTATTTTCTCCCTTCAGACCCTGAAGCCTCATTACGAACTTTATTTTAAACTTTATTGTCTCTTGTTGATATAAGTAAACCTGTTCAAAGGAAACATCTAACAACTTAGCAGAATTTTCTAGTCTCCTTTGAGAGCCTGGAATCTGCCCATACAAGCAAGAATGATGAAAGAATTTTGCTACAGGTTTAAAGGAAAAATAAATCAAGGATTGTTCCTTGGTCTTTTTCTGTGAGGTAGGGGGCAACACTGGCCTTGTGTTTGGAACCAGAGTTATATTTCTTGTGCTAAATTAATATTAATTTGGAGTATTTATTTGCTTGCAGTACTATATGGACTGCCTTTTTCTATTGCATGCAAGATTAGAAAAGAAAACAGTTACCACAACAATCTCAGCTTCCAAGGGTTCAGTCGCCTTTGATATTGTCGCTGGGGATGTGGCTGCGATCTGTGTCTTCCTTTTGGACCTCTGTATCTGAAGATTGGTGAAGTAATTGACAGCTGCAAATTCAATAAGTGCAGAAAAGACGAAAGCAAAGCATACAGCAATGAACCAATCCATGGCTGTTGCATATGACACCTTGGGCAAGGAGTGCCGGGCACTGATGCTTAAGGTGGTCATGGTTAAAACAGTGGTGATCCCTAAAATTAAAAGGAATGAGACATATAGTATTAATATTGAGAATCCAATAACAGGAGCAAATGAAAATGTGCTAGGGAAGATTAAATATTTTGCCATTGTATAGTAATTTTTGTTGTTTTATTGTATTATAGTGATTCATAGTCATTATCCTAAGTAGTATTATGTTTCTGTCGTTCAGTTAATGCAGTGACATATATGATATATTGCTCAAAGAAATTATTTTTTGAACTGATTAAGTTTTGTACAATGTAAGTCTTAAATAATTCTGTTTACTGCTTAAAAATAGCTTGTAACAAATTATTATCTTTCAGTAAGAAAAAAGACATCTAGAATTATGATCAGTTTTCATGAGGAATAATCTTTCATTACAATTGAGAAGTCTATCTAGTATGAATATTAACATAAAATTAGGTTACTGTAGGTTTCTTTTTTAATTAGCCTACTTTTATGCTTAAGTATTTACCCATGAGGAAATAAATTTCATCACTGATCTGTGGATAGTTTTCCTGCTTAACCATGGAATTTGGGAAGTACAACATTTAGGAGATGTATAGCATTGATGGTCAAGATGATTATGCAGACATTCTTTTATAATTTGCAAAAATGTGTATTGTAATACAAGAAATTTACAAAATTAGGGTTCATTTGAGATTTAAACTCTACTCAGATATTTTCTACTACTTGATTTATAATCATGAAGAACCATAATAATACAGATTTTGTTTCTGATAGTATTGTCAGTTACATCTTCTACTTAATTCATATTGCTCCAGCAAAATGAGTATTTATATGTCATAAATGGCCTTTAATATTTAAGTCAAACCATGGGAAATAGGTGCTATTTAATTACTTTTAGGTTGACAGAAATGAAAATTTTGTACAATTCAACCTAATGAAAGTAAGGTATAATTTACATATGTATAAGTCAAATATTTAGCCTTTTGTTTTCCTCAGTTGACATCAGTTTTTACCTTTTTGCTTTTCCCTCATTACAAAAAATGCAAATCAATGTGAAATACTGTTAATTAGGTCAAGTAAAGATTAAAGATACTGGCCAGAATTATTGTTGAGACTTTGTGTGTGTTACTTGCAATGGAATGAGGGTGATTTTACATAATACGTATGTCTTACGTATGTCTGAATGACATTGGAGTCTATTTCCTTTGTGGATTGAAAGAAGCACTGATGTGAATGTTTACACAAAATGCAAAAGCAAGGAGTGGATTAGCAGAACTAGATCACGAAGTGGGAGGCATACCAAAGACAGTTCTTGCTGGGACTGACTCCTTATTAATCCAGAAAGACACCTGGGAAAGAATGACTGTCATGATGCATGGAGTATATATCTGGATCATGAAGTAGCCCATCTTCCTTTGCAAATGGAAATGCACTGTCATTATTACATATTCACCTGTTGGAAGACATGTATGTCAGTGTTGGCATTGACAGTGTAGAAAAAGAATGAAGGTAAACATAAATCTTGAAAGGTTTTCGATTAGCATAGACTGGAAGATAACAAGCAAAGGCATTTTCAGTATATGAGAAGGTTACTTAATTAGCATTTGACGGAGCAAGGAGGCTATCAGCTCACTGTTTTCATTTGAGTTCTTTGGGCAAAACAACTTATTCCAGAATTACCCAAATTGTTATATGCATCTTGTTGCAAAACCAGTTAAGAGTTAGGTATGTTCCGTGTCAAAGAACAATTAGCTAAGAATGGCTAATGTGGAGGAGAATAAATAGACATTTTGAAAATGTGCACAGGAGTCATCTTGTAGAAACTGGTCAGATCCTTACCAGTGTTAGATTTAATTGTCTCACTAGATACTGTCTGTCCAATCAGATCATATTGGAGAAGGCTGGAAGATTCTTCTGGGACTTCTACTGAGTAAAGTGGTCCTTTCTTCCATGTATATATGATTTCGCTTTTGGGATAAGCATCTGAATATTTGAAACAAACATAACAGTGAAATTAATGGGTTCTTTTTTTCATAAAATCATCAAGTTCTGTTTATAGAAAGATTTGCAACACAAATTCTCTTTATGATTTTTCTTAATCTCAGTGACTAAAACCTTTATGATATTAAAAGTAAGTATATTATTGAAATAAGAATGAAAATGTCATAGTAATATTTATCTTTTGTTTTTTCAGCCTATAAAGCCAAATAATAACATGTTTTGAATGCATTATTTGGCTCTCAGAGGCTTTTTGTCACTTACAACTCCCAAACTTGAGTGGACAAGCATGCCCATCCATAGGAAAGTTGACCAGTCTCATGGGACAGTCAGCATTGATGGTCAGCCTAGGGACATGGAAACAAATCATTATGAGTTAGCATGGGAGTCAGATTTTTTGGGCAGAGGAAACAATTGGAGAACCCTCACCTCATGGTGTATAGAATTGTCCCATTCTGCATTATTCTGAAGAGTTTATTAGGGGTTGTCATGTTGTGAGCAATTGACTTTTTACCATTTCTGAAAAAAGTGTCAGGTGTCCAGATTTTACTGACCATCAAATTATTTAAACTCAGAATCTCAGTTGGCCCCACAAACTTCAATCTCTCATCAGTCCAAGTCTGGCGGAAGAAAACATCCATTGTATACTCCTAAGGAAAAATCAGACATTCATACAGGCTGGAGAAGTGTTTGGCAAAAATAAGTCCACTGACTAATGAATATAACCATTTGAAAAGGTTAAGCAATAAATCAACTTTTATAACTTCTTCAGTAAATCTAAATGATAATTTAATAAGTATATAATAATTTTCTATTCAATGAATGATTTGTGATTATACTTTTTGAATGATTTATAATCACAAAGTAATGATTTTGGAAAATTGTTTTTCTCAAAATTGAAAAGTTTGTGGTATGATGAAAGAGGCCGCTGCATTTGTGACCCTTTTTCCCATCAGACTCTCCTCCGCATGCTTCTTCCGTATCTGCCTGGCCTGTAGCTATGTATCTGCATTGTCCCCCTTAATTTACAAGAATATTGCATGAAAAAATCTATTGTCTGGGCTGCCTGCTGGCTATTCTTCTTAGCACCTCCCTCATTGGGTCTAAGAGCATGATGGTATTATTCGGTAAACTTTTTGGAACAGATACATTCTATTAATTAGCACATTGTGGCCATATGCCATAATTGCTTTATATTATTATCAGATAATGAAAAACCAAATGCTGCCATGATTATTCCAAATTCCACTTAAGTATGCATATCAAAATGATGATATTTAATTTGTAATTAGATGAAATAACACTAAAAATATTAAGAGGGCTGTAGAAGTCAGTGATGTTAAAATTTATTGTTATATCAGAGCATTGTCAATAACTTTTGCCTACTGTATAAGTACCCTTTCACTATTTTATTACTGCAAGTTCTATGTTTTTAAACATAATTTATTAGGAATTATACCTATGGAATAATGATCTAAACAATATTGGGGATTTATCTTATAAGCTAACTTTAAAAAGAACAACAGACACAAAACAATATCACAAATATATCTGCACTTAAATAATATAGTAGAAAGTGGTTATGTCTTTTTATACTTGAGATGAATCAGTATTTGAATGAAAAAATATGATACTAAAATATTATCAGAATTTTGAGTTACGGTGTTTTTTTCTTCAAACTTTAAGATATCTGTCTAATAATAAAGCCTTTCTGTTCCCTCCCCATCTACCCTGTCTTTTCTTTTTTCTTTCTTTCTTTCTTTCTTTCTTTCTTTCTTTCTTTCTTTCTTTCTTTCTTTCTCTTTCTTTCTTTTTTTCTTTCTTTCTGTCTGTCTGTCTGTCTGTCTGTCTGTCTTTCTTCCTTCCTCCCTCCCTTCCTTTCTTCCTTCCCTCTCTTTCTTTCTCTTTTTTCTTTTCTTTTCTTTCTCCCTACCTTCTTTTCTTCCTCTTTTCTTTGTTACTTTACTTCTTTTCTCGTCAACTCAAAAAAGGATGAAAAAGTCTTCAATAGTTATTTAGAATTCCTTTTTCCTAAATAAAAATTAATGTCATAGCTCTTTGAAGATCATTTTGTGTATTTACACATTTGTATTGACACTTTAGTTTAAGGGGAAATGTTACCTGACAAATCAGAAAGAATATCGGGTTACACTTTGTTTTAGAAAAAGAGTTCAGCTTTTTATTGCCACTTACTATAAATACCCTCTTACGAATCCTACAGCCATCTGTACCTGGAACAGAGTCCTTAGAACACCCACTGGTCTATCCACAAGGTAAAAGGTGGAATGTGTGGACCTTTCCAAGTACTCCTTTACTGCTTTAAGTAAAATATACTGATAATTAAGTTCTACAAAAGACAGCTGTTTTAAATTTCACAGATACAACATGGCACAGAACCACTTTTTTTCCTGTTCATACAAATTTACTAAGAATTCATGAAAAATTTCTTACCTTTGTAGGAATTCCTACATGATATGTAAATGAAGAGTATATAATCTTAAAAAGTCCCTCAGCTTAAAGCGGGGGGCTGGGATTTAGCTCAGTGGCATAAGCACCTGCCTTGCAAGCAGGCAGTCGTGAGTTCGATCCCTCGTACCAATTTAAAAAAAAAAAAAAACAAAAAACCTCAAGCAGAAGCCTTCTTGAAATGTGACGGAGATTAAGCCAGTAGTGATCTGCTATAATGGCCATGACCTCCCAGCATGAATATACATATTGCATTACGAAGCTCAAGCCAAGCATATGGACAATACCCACTTTCATTAGTACTGGGACTTAGCTCTCCTATCTTAAATAAAATATCCATTTTGCTAATAGGTTACTCACCATCTCCACATCTGACACAGGCCCAAAACTGGTCACATAAATATCTGTTTTGACTTCAGTGACAGCACCTGAAATTAATCCATAGAGTTGAAGTGATTATCACTAGCAATGTTAAGGGTGCCAGGGAAACTCCACAAAGTCCCTTTTCATGGCCAGATTGTGCTTCAGCCATGGGAGACTCTGGGTCTTTAACTGTGAAAACACACTCGTAAGAATTTTACATGGAAAACCTCATTCTATACTCGCCCAAACCTATGAGACAAGTACATTCATATACTGCAAAAGTATTGAGGCTTAGAGAGTTCAATAATGTGCAGAAGGGTAGCAATTGAGAAAAGGACAAAAATGGATAAAATGCAGGTCTGGCCACTCTCCAGTACCTATACACCTTGTCATTCTGATAAACTACCTCCTTTCTGAAGCTTCTGGGTCTCGGAAGGCCAGAACAGGATGAAGAAGGCTACAGATACTAGGTCTAGCAACAATATAGTACAGCCTTTTACCTCCAAATCCTGGCCGTAGTCGATTGTCATAGCCTTCAAGCAAGTTGTCCAGGATCCGACTAACATTTTCGGAATAGAAATTGCCTTCATTTTCAAGTTGTGCCAGGGAATTTTCTAGCCTGAAGTTAGAAAAGAGTCAATGTGTGATTCTTACTCTGGCCTCAGAGAAGATAAGTTGTCTAGTAGACCCTAGTCCAACCCCAAATAAATACATCCTGTACGAACCATAAGATAAAAATTATCACATGGATGTATGCTTTACTCTCCTCTGAGCTAAAAGGAAAAATCAGAAAAAAAAAAAATCTTACCGTAGAATAATATAAAGCCAAGGCAGAAGTGATACCATCCTGTGGTTTATTGGAATACTCCTGATCAGCTCTCCTGTGACAATCAGCTAAAAAAATTGTCCAAATCCCTCATATCCCTCTTCCTTGCTTGCTTCCAGTCAGAAATCCAGTAGATGAAAGGTTTGCTGGAGAAACTTTGAGGGTTCTCGTTGCTCTTATTTTTGTTTTCTGTCTTTCCCCAAAGAATAAGGAAGTTTGTGGTCCTAGACTCTGTCCTGCAGATATGCAGCCTCCTGTGGCAGACTCAGCTGAGAGATAGAGTCCAAAGGGACAGTGCATGGCCGGAGATCAGTGACAATAATCGAATAAGGCACTAGGGGAGATTAGAGGGAAGAAATCCACTGCTAGTTTTGGCATGGAGTTAGCAGGACCTGTGAGGAAATCTGGAAAGCAGTGGCATCTTGCTGATTGAGATTATGTTCCAATGGGCTCAGCATTTATTATTTTTATGGTTCACACAAGGATTCCTACACAGCTCTTCCTGGGTAAAGGGCAAACAATATTGGGGCTCTCCTGGATTCTCTTTCTGATTTTTTTCAGCTTTATTGGTTGCAGGCACATCCTTTGTATTTAAAAATTAGTACTCACTAATTACTTACCAGCATTTCTAACACATCAGATCAGCTGCTGGCCATCTTGCTGTTAATTATTTTTAAATATACTTTGTGTATCCATCTTGTCGTAGACATGGCTTCTCAGGTAAAGATATAGATTCTACTATGTTCAGAAACTTGTTTAGTTTCATGAATTCTGCCCACAGGAAATGATGCCTGAGGAATGACCAGTTAGGTTTACCCGTGCAGAAATGCTACACGAATAAAAATATTCATATAGATGGTAAAGGATGATGTTGCTGGTGCTATTTTACAAGGATTTCCATGGGTCAAAAGCAACCTGAGTTCAATAAATAAAATTATATACTGTTTCTCATGTGGTAAAAAGAGCCCACTTGCCCCTTAAAATTACAGTCTTTAAGTGAAAATCATGTTGATAATAATAAATGTAATATAATTTAAAATAATAAACACATGGGTTATGAAAATTCAGGGACATAAAGAAACAAATATCTCAATTCACCACTACTCTCTAGTTTCATTTATTCATCCAGTTCCTAATCTATATTTTCAGAATCTAAATTCTACAAAAGCCATGGCAACCATACACATATATAGCATAGGTTTTAGAGTTGTATTTAAGGACATAGCATAAATCATCCAGGAAGCATTTCAGTAAATTATCTGTAGCCCAAAAGAAACAAGAAGAATGCAATGTTTCCTGTGATTTTTAAGATTACTGAAACTCAGTTACATAGAAATTTCTGGTTACTCATTAAAAGGCTGAATTAAAAATTTCTTGTAAGTTTTAAGCAGCTGTTTTCTTGTATCATTTTACTTGAGCTGCAAATAAAGCTGCACCCTAAATCCTATCCCTCACTTTTGAATTACTATGAAACAGTTTCTCATGGAAGGGCCACATAACAGTCATTTAAACAAAGATACTTGTTATGTAAGGAAAACTTTCCTACATTTCCCTGTGGAATCTGGTTTCTACATCTCATGTGATTGCATTAAATCATGGTCTCTGGTGACCACAACATATTTTTCACTCAAATGTATTGTGCTTCTACTTAAATCTCTAAATATCTGGTATATGTGATGCTGTTAAATGTCTTTGTTCCTATTTGCCATATGTTACTTCCTTATTCAAACATAGACACCCATGAGAACTCTGTTACTTTGTTGAATTTTTATCATTTTTATCAAAATGTTTAACATCCATCCTAATTTATGTGGTCTGACAGAAAGTTTAGTGAGATCTCTAAAACTGGATCACTTTGCACATGGGAAAAAATTAATCATGGAGAGATTGGAGGTGTTTCCATGTATTCCTCAAGCATGTACGTTCTTACCTTGGAGCTAATATTTGTTATATTTTTCTATAAATAAGAGGTAACCATACCTGTTTCTATTTTTGATAAATTTTAACCAATTCATGAGGGAGAAAGAAGACCTTTCTTAATCTAAATAGGGATAAATATCCACTGTAGAATTAGAACAGATAATAAACTATATAATCTCATTTATTTCACCTCTGTGGACTTTACCTCAAATCTTTAAGCTACTTAATTTCTAATTCTAAGGATTCAAATTGTTCTCACATTTCTGTCAAAATGAGGCAGTGAAGATCTACTAGCAGCACCACTGAGGAAATTGCAATTACTATTTTCCTATGGCAATAGCAAAAAAAGAATGTAACAATGTAACATAAGTGAGTTGTGAAGAAAAACAAGTTGAAAGAATGTATTTATAAATTATAAAGCCGCTGCTATATTAAATATGCAATATGTTCCAAATAAATAAGGAATATTAACTCTTTGTTCATAGGTGCCAATGAAAATGGTCAAAAAACATGAAAGATGGCAAAGATCAACTGAAAATGTTTAAATGCAAATGAAACAAAAGCTTTGTAAATTCATTTCATGGTCATAAATCATTCAAAATTCTAATAGGTAGATGTTAGTATAGTACTTGGGGGAGGGTAATTTTTCATTAGATGTGACTGTGCTACATATTTGTTTATTTAAAAATTTCTTAAAGTTACCTACTAAACATCTAGAGTTATCTGCATGATAACAACCAAATATACCCCTAACATTTCAAAATATTTTTCAAGGCAAATTGTGGCTTCCAATTAAAATTGATTTTGAATGCGAAATTCTTCAATTAGATTGAAGTTCACAGTTAAAATATGCTAAAATTCCCACTAGTTAAATTTGAAGAAACTCCTAATATTTGAGCGAGATACATTTCTGCATCTACAAATTCATAATCAACCTGCAGCAGATTGGCAAAAGCTATCCACCCAACCCCTCTCCATCACAAAGTACAGCCATTCATCACTTAGCAATGGTATATACACTGAGAAATGCATCAAATGCGTCCTTAGTTGATTGTTTTGTACAAACAACATAGAACATTATTTACACATAGCTAGATGGAATAGCATCCTAATACCCCTAAGTTTTAGGGGTATTAGGCTATGTGGTATGTGTGTTTGTGATTCATGCTCCTCAAATGTGATGATGTGCATGACTTCATAAAATTGGACAGTGTAGAGAAGAAATATGTCTTTGGTAAATGTGGAGTATTATGCAAAGTCTTCATATTACCATCCCTAGGAAGGAAAAGGCTTCATATTAGCATTCTCTCTAACAAATCAAGGAGATGATAAGCCATTTGCCCCAAAACTCTAAGCATGTCTGGAAGAACCAACTGGTAATGCATTTCTTGCCAATACCCTCACTGTGAAAGAAATGAAAGTTTTGCATGGAGGCACCAGAGAATTTGTGGAAATCTGACATTATTCTTCTGATGAATGGATGCATGCGTGAACACAGACATTGGTGTATCTTCCTTCTGGTCCATGGACAAGAACAGCAGTATATGTGACTTGCCCATTTGCACCCAACTAGTAAGATAAAACCACAATTCAAAATCAGAGTGTTTTAGGTGGAAGGTAAGGTATGTGAACAGAAGTCAGCAAAAAGTAAAGACTTTCAGGTCTATTAAAGAAATGATGTGTAGCTATCATTATCTACTCAAACATGGAATAGGCTTCTATGGGATAAAAAGAGTTTCCTGTTAACAACGATCGTTAGGGATGTATGTTTCAGAACATTGCTAGAACACTCATCACTGAGGCTATTTTGAAGTATGTTAAAGAACCATTTAACAACACAAGTGTATATTTAAAGAATGCTATAAAGTTTCTTTAGAGATTCTCTGTGGTAAATTAACCTGGGAGGAGGAAAAGTGAGATGTCCTACTAAGTTGAACTAAAACAAGGAGCAAAAGTGATGAATTACATACCAGTGAATATAATAATGAATATTTATTGAACAGAGTATATTTCTATTTTGATCATATATGTTGATATTATCTCTAATCTGTGCAGATTTCCTGCAAGGTAACTATTTTATGTTCTTCTACAGAAGGCAAAAAAGAGACTTGCGAAAGTTATGTTACTTCCCTAAGGTCCCAAATTATCTCTAACAGCGAAATATATACTTTTATATATTGTACTTTATGTGTGTCAGAGCTCACTCCTTTTCCTAAAGACATAGCACTTAAATTCTCTGAACTAGCAGTGTTGTTTGTATTGCTGTTCAGGGAGGCCCACTATCTCAGTGGACACTATAGAAATTCCCTGGGTGACTCCTGCTGGAGATGGAGTGCAATAAGGGCAAAATTGCTCTGGGAAGCAAAGGACAATAAAGGAACATGGCTCTGGGCTGCAGCTTTAAATTGTTCTGGCTTGGTTAGGAGTAGATTATGGAGCACATTATAGGATACCCAGGTGCATCCAAAAGAAATAGGCAAGCAATAGTCATTTCAAAACTCAAAACACAAATACTGAGGAGCAAAAAGCCACTTTGGAAATAGTGCAAGTGTAAGAATTTACAATTTATGTTTACTTGGCCAGTACCACTACTATTTAACTTTTATTTATGAACTTTTTGTCATGTGCTAAATATACAGAAGTCTAAAAAGATACAATAGTCTCATTCTCAATATTGATAACCAGCCTCATAGAACTGATAAAACATTGAGTACTGAGGACTATTTATTAATCATATGTTATGCAGGCACAAGCCTGAGGAGGCAGCTGTGGTGGGATCAAGGACTAATTACTACATCCTGGAAGAGATAGCACTCAAACTGAAACTCATGGATCACATAATTTAGTAGATTGGCAAAAGCCATCCTAGGCTTTATGGTGAGCTCGAAGATGAGATGCTTGTTGAAACTGTGCCTGTGAAAAACAAGTACATTTAGAATTGGAATGCAGAAAGCAAAGAGAATGCAATGCCTGGATGAGAAGACTCACTTTTAGAAGAACATGCTCTCCGCGGGGGTGGGGGGGAAGGGGTTTAAAAAGGGTTTTTGTGCATCCATGGATAATCTCAATGGAGTTCTTGAAACAATTCATGGCCAGTGCTTTCTCTTTGAATTGTTCTCAGGATAAAATTATGGAAACAGTCAAAAGTGCACATGGAACAAGGCCTTGTCATGTTTCTATTACTTAATTCTGTCTTGACCTTCACTTGACTAGACCACTTCGCAACTAGGTAACTTGGGCTTAATTGAAGGCAAATTATACATCATCTCAACATCATCTTCATCATCTGTAGAATGGGATTGCAGAGTCATGTTGAGGAGGAAATAAAATTGCGTGAAAGTGCTATTATTGGTATACCCCTAATAATCAAGAAATAGAAACATCTCTCAACAGTACCAACATCATCACTTTAGTTAGCATTTCCATCATCAAT